ATTACAAAAAAAAACAACAAACAGTGTTCAGAAATATATAGACTAAAAACGATATTACTTAAAATATACATGAGACCAAATTAAATGTACAGTTTTAAAAGTGCACACTTGCTTTGATCTTCTGATGTGTGTGTGTGTGTCTGCTGCAGGTACTTAACATGGTGATCCTCTAAATGAGCAGCAGCAGCAGACATTTGCTTGCATGGCTCTGGCCCACAGGCCCCTCCCACCTCCAGTGCAGGAGAAAGCCCAGCCTTGTGGTTTCCAGACCAGGGATGGCAGGGGAACACTGGTTCCTTTTATCCAGTTTAGCCAACCCCTCTGCTGGTCGTAACTCCTGCCTTGAAACTTGCAAAAAAAAAAAAAAAAAAAAAAAAAAAGTGGGACGTGGGACCTAGCTGTGTGATGTGCTTGTATATATAAATAAATGTGGTTGTGTGTGTGTGTGTGTGTGTGTGAATGCTTGTATTGCTGAAAGGGAATTTAGTGCTCGCTCTTCTTTAGTGTTGGTAAACAGGTACATAAATAGCAAGGCTGGCTGACTGAGTTCTGGGAGAGACCGAGGGCAGAGCCTGGTGTTAAAGGAGTAGTTCAGAAGCAGCTGTCATCGCTGTGCAAAGTTTAGACTGTGTATGGGGGGAAGGGAAGGTATACACACTCTGAGGGGTGAAGCTCGGCTTAATGTTTGCCTGATGAATTTCTGCGTTCGTCAAATTTAAACAACTCCCAAATGTTGTTTTGACTGGACTTAGATAATAATAATAATAATAATAGATCTGTGTTCGAGATACAGTAAACCACTGTAGGCAAGTATATATTGTACTGTATTTGGACCTTTAACGAATAGCTTCATGCCTTTTACTAACAGACTCGGGTTAAAGCGCTCGGGTGGACAAACTTTACTATATGAGCAACGTTGACTACAGCTTAGCTTTTGAGGCGATGCATTTCAAAATATATGCTTATATTTGTTTATCTTGGATAGTATTCAATCATTTCCCACTGAGGTGACTGAACTGGTCTTACTTATTGCGCATTTTGTAGGTGTAATGAATGATCACTGACAAGCTATCATGGCATCTCCTTTTTCCTTTTTGTGTCTCCCTTTTTGTTGGAGTTTGACCATAGAAGTACTGTAGTTTCTGTTGCAGTACTCGTGCTTCCTTTTAGAGTTGGAAAAATATGCAGAGTCTGGTCAGGATAATTGAAGACTCTAAACCAGTGAAACTGGAGAGCCACACTTGCACAAAAAATATTTTTGCAAGAGCCGCCATTTTTAGGACGCTATTTTCTTTGGAAGCATTTTGTGATAATTATTGTGATAGCATTGTTATAGCAATGGCCTTTTAGTAAAACAATTACGTTTATCACAAATTAGGGTTGCTCAATTATAGAAAAAAAAAATTCAATTAAAGTTGTATAACACAACTATTTATTGACTCTTGATACATATTGCTTATTACTAACTGAAAATGTAATATTGGGAAAAAGTAAACGCAAAAACCCACAAAATAAAGCCAGCAATGTAGTATGGACCCAGATTCCGTTGAAAAAATATATATATATATTATAATATATTTATAATATGTTTTATATATTTTATAAATAAATGATAACGAATAAAAATATCAGAACATACATATAATTCAAATTCTAAAAACAAATCAAAACTAAAAATGTAGCAGCAGTTATGGCTAATAAAAAAAAAGTAGAACAAGTTATATTTTGTTTACATTTTAGTGCAACATCACAATATCCTTAACGGTCCTATAAATGTATTCAACATTTCGACAATATATATTTCATAAATTCCAGCGGGCTACTGAGTCCAAAAACATTATGGCCCAACGCATATTTCAGATTACAGCAGTCCTATAGCATTTGCTGAGTGGCTGCAAGTTTTCTTTCCAACGAATCTCTTCACACCAGGCGTTACACATTTAATCAACTGACCTCAGTCTTCAGACAGCTGATTGGTCGAACCGTGTGCTCTTTAAACAAATGTTTGAGTTGTAACCATAATTGTCATCAATAATTTCCCCAGTATGGGATCAGTAAACTTCAACCTAATCTAACCCCATCAATAATTTCCCCAGTATGGGATCAATAAACATGAACCTAATCTAACCTTTTTTTTTTTTTTACTACATTTCGACTGCGGTCATTTTTCAAAATAGTTTAACTCCTATATTTCACATTCCTATAGTCATGGGAACTTGTTGCTAAGTCCCTGGACAGTGCCAGAGTAAATGTTTTGCGGTAAGAATCCACTAAAAAGTCATTAGTGAACATGTCTTTTCTTTAAACTGTCATACCCTTTAAAAATGTATTTTATGTGTTTTACTGTACCAAATAAGAGCCTGAACACACCAATGCTGTAGCATTCATTGAACCAGGTTCAACCTGTTGGTCTAGCTGCACCCATGTTCATGAATGAGTCAGTGTGAAAATTGGGTACTTTTTTTTTTTTTTTTTTTCATATTAAAGTAGTCAAATGTTGTATATGTTTGGGTCAGACGCAGAACAAGAGCCCGAGGAGAGTTATAAACCCAGGTGCTGTCACGTACACTTATCTCACTATATTGCTTCATAGGCTTTATTTTACTATAGGCAAAAACTCCAGAGATGTGAATATGTGTACTAAAACCCAGACAGTCAATTTTGCATAATTTCTCATTTCTCAAATGCAATGCGTTCTCTGGAGCTGCTGTAGTGACAACTATCACACACTGAATTCTGCGCACATTCCGCAGAATTCAGGGAAATGAAATGGCAGAGGCAGGTCACAGAGAGAGAGAGAGAGAGAAAATGACGTATTATTATTACGTTAACTGACTTGCAGGAGTTGTCCTGCTTTATTTTTAATAACGTTATCCCAGATAGAGATAGGGAAGAAGACTGCTTCTAGAATCATGTACAAAAAAAATTCCCTCTCTTCTGAAATAGGGCTGACATGTATACTTTTTATTTTTATTTTATACTTATAATACTGTCAGCAAACGGGTAACAAATAAAAGAGACATTTATTTTTGAATGAGGTTTATTCTTTCTTGCTTATTCATTATATTTCATGCAACGGACCCAGTTATGATTTTTTTAAAGTGAAATATTGGTTTCAATAGTCGTGGACTAATCGACAATCGAAATAGTCGTTAATGACAAATATTTTGCTCCGTCTTTGAATGGCTTGGAATGGCTAGCACTTCCCCCATCCGAAACCACAATCTTGATGCAGAGGCAATTAAAGGCAATGTTTGTCCAAAGTAGTCCCAAGCCCACGTGGTTAGTTCCAAAAAGCTAGCAAAACGTTTTTTTTTTATTGGAGCTGCTAAGAACTTGAAAGTCAAGTAGAGGCGAATGTTGTTTCTTTCATTGTCCTTTTGCGCAGAGATTTCTCCTGACTTCCTGATTTAATTATTAAAGTAGAGGTTAGTTGTTTAGAAGCCTTAAATTTTGTAGTGAGGCATATTCGTTTTTAATCTATAGTTTAAAGTTTGCGGTGACCTTGGTTAACCGCAAGAGAATGAAGTACATGACCCGTCCCTGAGATACTGCTGTAGCCATTGTGAAGCAGTTCCTTTTCACAAGAGCTTTTAAAAATACTATCATACATCATAGCCATATTCTTAAGGCTATAATTTTCCCTCCAAAAAAAAATTTTTCAGCCAACTATCTTGACCTCAAGTGCAGTGTGTTTTTAAAAACGTTGTAATTAGTTCCTCCTTTGGCGAATACAAACCTTTGAGCGTTGGAGGTAAACTTTGGCAAAGTCCCCGATGGTAACTGGAGCTGCGATTGTTAAATATAGAATTAAACACAGTCCCAGGCAATTTTACTGGTTGAGAAAAAGTAAATAAAACATTTTTATAAATACCGTTCTAGATGTATTCCTAAGTCGTTCCTTCACAAGAGGTTGGATGGATGGAGTAAATGCAAACTAAAATGTATGTCATGTCAGTAAATGTTTTTGCTGAAATCTAGAGCTAATTTTGTTGTGGATCTAGTATCAGTTCTGTCACGGTAAAAAAAAAGGAGAATCTAAATTTCGCCGTTCATAAGTTCTTTGAAGTACAGCTTTCACTTACTCAAAATCCTCTTACTCGCTACCACGTTACCCTCTTGTTACCCCACTATTATCAACCTAATCTGCTGACCTTTCTTCCATTACTCACTCTTTAGCTAACTGGTATGAATCATTCTTCCTTTCCTTTGTTCAATCTGTCTCAAAAGTTACCTTATCTTTAGTTTCAAAACTGCTTCTTCTAGCTGCCCACGTATATCATTGCTTTAACCTGGGTCATCCACCTCAGTCATCAAAGGCATCTTATCAGCAGCTAAGTAAAGGACGTTTCACCTCTCACCCAAGAGGCCTCTTCAGTTCCGAACAGTAACAGTTGCCCCCTACTTAACTGCTTAGGACATGACCAGCGCGTTTTCTGTGATACGATCGGTGTTAATTTCGTTGAAGGAGACTATCACGAAATATAATCAAACCTATTTCATGGACAAAAAAAAAAAAACGAAAATAAAAAGTCCACCATAATGATAGCAACGCCTATTTTGTTGAAGAAACTGTGTAGTTTTGAAGGTCAGGCAAGAGTTTTGGAGAAGTATTTGCACGAGGGGGCACCTACTGTATATCTTGTTATTTGAGTAGCTTTGGCCTTCGTGCATTCATCGTATTTGGGTGTGTGGTGTTCTTTAAGGTAGTTGGAAAAAGTTGGTTGTGTTGCCCTGTGGCGAAGACTAATAACAACAATTGGACGGCACCCTTTCATATAATTTATTTTTGGTCAGCGTCACTCGATCTGAATAAAAAAAAAAACAAAAAAAAAAACCTCCAGACAATAGATCCCTTACGAGGTGCTAGCGTCTCCTCACCTCCGAATGCTGTTTTTTTTTTTTTTTTTTTTTTTTTTTTATCTCTGCCAAATGTTCTAATACTTAACTTTGCCTTGACATAGTGAAGATACTTACTTTATTTACCCTTTTTCTTGTAGCCTAAAGCTCTCGGACAGCACCTGCTCTCTGAGGTTTTCCTCAGAGGCAACATCATCGAGAGTGATTATTTTGGCCTCGAGTTTCAGAACATGCAGCTGAATTGGGTATGTTGTACTCCTCCAACTATTTCTTTATTTCTTTATTTTAATTTTTTTGTGAAAAACCATAACTTACAACAAGAGCATACAGCTAGCATTAGCTACAGCTGGGAACGGGAACAATGTCAACAGCATGCTTGGATTGAATCAAATCTGTGTATAATTATCAAATATAAACTGCTTGGGATTTATTACAGACACAGCAGAGATCTAAACCTGACTGAAAGTGATCTGTGTTTTGTTTTTTGTTTTTTTGAGTCTTAATTTTGTAATTTAAAAAGAAAAGTTTGAAAGTTTCATTTGAATGGGAGTTTCTTTGTTTTTCAAATCACAACCTGATCCACGATGCATTCATTGAAGTAGAAAGCTACTGTATTCAATATTAACAAGAAAGTATAGTGTGTTTTTTTTTTTTTTCTGCGTTAGCCTAAAAAAAATAAGAAAACCTTTTGAAAAATCGAATGTTCTGTTTCCCATAGGTTTGGTTGGAGCCAACAAAACTCTTTGTGAAACAAACTAGAAGTAAGTAAGTTTCATTATTTGTTTTTTTCCAGATGTGTGATGTGATGTGATGTGATGTCATGTACTATATGACGTTTTCTTTTCAATTTGCAGGACCAGAAAACACCCTGTTTAGACTGTCGGTGAAATTCTTTCCACCTGACCCCGGTCAGCTACAGGAGGAGTACACCAGGTCACTGACTCTCATCTCATTTTAAAGTTGTTTTTTTTTTTTTTAAAGTACTGCATTATTCCAGTCCATCTGGAGTATGAGTCACACCAGCCAAAAAATGCATAATGAATAAAAAAACATATATAAGTAGCTCCGGAGTATGAGTCGCACTAGCCAGCTAGAGTGCCCTCTAGTGGCTGTCAGTGTGAAAATAACAAACATGAAATTATCTATTTTAGTATGTATCGTACCATCGTACCAAAGGATGAATTAAAGTACGACTTACTGTTTACTTATTTGTCTCTCTGGGAATTATCTATTTTAGTATGTATCGTACCTGAGTATAAGTCGGCAATCCCAGCCAAAGGATGAATTAAAGTGCGACTTACTGTTATTTGTCTCTCTGGGGAAAGTGCAATAATTATACATATATAATACAATTTGCATATGTGCTAACTCTTTTTTTTTTTTCTTTTTCTTTAATATAGATATTTATTTTCACTGCAAATGAAGAGAGATCTGATGGAGGGCAGATTAATCTGCTCCGAGAACACCGCAGCCCTGCTGGTCTCCCACCTTGTCCAGTGTATGTGTTGTTTGGATTCACTTGTCAAAACAACACTGGTCTTGTGTCAGACACAGATAATTAAATATTAATTAAAAAACGAAAGGCATTAAAAAAAATAATACCGATCGACTTCTTCATTCTCTGTTCACCCCAGCTGAGATTGGAGATCACGACGATGCAGCGGACAGGGACTTTCTGAGAAAGAAAAAACTGCTGCCTTATCAAGAGAATGTGCAGGAGAAAATCATGGAGTTCCATCGCAGACATTTGTAAGTTCTCTTTCTCTTCATGTCTTGTGTGTATGTATATGTATATATGTGTGTGTGTGTATATATATATATATATAT